GGGGGTGGGGCTTTACATGTCTATAAGAAGAATGCTTAAGAGCAATTTGTTTCACACCACCTTCAAGAGTCCTTCAAACTGATCATTTTAATAACATATGGAGTATTTATCAAACACTTTTGTCAGTTATGATTAAAAGATCTTTCTATTTTGTGTGCAGGAGGCCATTCTTCTTCATTCTGGATGAAATATCTGGAGTAAGTTACCTTATAAAGAAAAGAGCTTTATTTCACTCACAGTTCTGGAGGTTCAAGGACAGGGCATAACAACAGATAGGCTCTGTTGAAGGCTTGATGTGAATGACATCACCAGTGGTGAGAGGGCCTTAGGCAGGAAGAGGTCACCACTGCACAGGAAGCCAGAGACATTGAGAAAAAGCCAACTTTCTTCCCCCTAACACTCTTGAGAGAACTAAGTCCGGGTCTCACAAGAGCAAGAACTTCCTTAATTCTTCTGAGGGCACACCCCACCGGCCCAGTGACCTCCCATGAAGCCCCACCTCATATAATTACCACAACTAGGGGAAAAACTCAGTATGTAAATCATAAATTAGAAAGAGAGAATCACAGGAAGAGAGAGAAGAAAGAAGGAAAGGGAGAAGAATTTCACCAATGTTCAAAGAGAAGCCTATCTATATATGAGCCTATAACAGGGGTCTACAAGAAAAGAATGCCTTAAGTACGAAAATATAGACTGGTTTACTAAAATTTCCTTAAAATATAAGTGGTGGAAAGTGACATTAAGAACCATTCTAGAAAAAAAATGCATCATCCTTACTGAAATGAAAATGAGTTATTTTTCCTTAAGAGCATTCAAATGAATAATGTTCACTTTTTCAGATCAAGAAAATACCCTTCTGTGAACAGCCTGTACGCAATTTCTGTGAACTGCAAAATCTTTAGGCTTTTTTTCTCTCTAAATACCAAGAGTGAAAACAGAGTGAAATTGCTGATCCAGTATGACAGGGCTCAGAACTGAGAACAATTCAATGGTTTCCTAAGATAAACCAGGAGGTGCCAGGGACAGCAAGTCTAACTTTGGCCACAAAAGCCATGGTACACTCAGTATAACAGAGACAGTTCTCACAGTCCAAAGCTGAAGCTCAAAGGCCCCACATGTGGCAGAAATGATAAACAGGTGAGTATATCCCCAAACTGGAGTGATTTGGGCACAAAAAAAAAGAAAAGAAAAATGAAAGAAATGAGGTGCAAACTAGAGTAACATAGATGTTGACATCGCTAACCCTGTGTGAAAAGAACCCAGGCACACAAGGTAGCACCACACAGAATTCTGAATTCTGCTCACATGACGCTCACGGGAGAATTCCTCAGAGTCTGGCTTAGGTTAGTGTTTGTCCAGTGGGGCAGAAGTAAATAGAAATGTGCTAGCGAAGATTACAGCTTCTTTTTGAGATGATGTTTCTATATTGACATCATAGTGCATGTTTATTATCCGAATACATATGTATATATATGCTCACTTTGAATCTCACTGTTTTTAAGGGTTGGTACATGTAGAAAGGGGTGATATTTGATGATTACAGTTGAGAGAGGGATACTGTTGGGTGGAAGTCTGGTGTCCCATGCAGTCTCCTTGCACATGCGTAGGATCTCAGCATCCTCCACACTCTCGTGCGCAACTGTCCCCTGCAGGTCGGTGGTCTCAGGGACCTTTGGGCATGGGCAGCTATCTGGGCTGCCCCCAGCGGTCGCCACTGCCCCCACTGTTGGGCGCCCTAAGTCGTGGCCTCCTCGTGCCTTGGTGCATCAGGGCCCAAGTGGCCCTGGCCCTACTGCGTCAACATACTGGATCACCACACTCCTCAGATGGTGGTGGGGACCGGGAGGCACTCTCCAATCCAGCTGCCCACAGAGGCCACCATGAATCTCTCCAGTGCCTGGGACACCTACGTGAAAAGATGGCTATGGAGTGTCCAGAGCCCTGGATGGATCTGCAACCCTGTGATGGTTAAGATCGCTCCTGTGTGTAGGGGCAGCCCACTGGCCTCCCTGGGGCATGGAACCCCCCCTTGCAGCAGGGCCAGCCAAGGAGCATCCAGGCCCCTGCTCCAAGGAGACTGTACTGAGGCCCCTCAGTCAGTGCAAGAAGAGGAGCAAGAGGTTTAATGGACCACTGTGGTTCGAAGCCCCAGAGGTGAAGGGCAGGAACCGAAACCCAGAGCCCAAGCTGTTCTCTGCTTTCAAGCCTAGCATCAAAAACATAGGGGCTGCTTCCTTTGTGCCGAAGACAGGATCTCTGAACAGAAGCCAACACTACTGAAGCTTCAGCGTCTGCGTGGAGGAGGAGGATCTTCAGCCCCTTGGCCAGGCTGCCATACCACCCGCTCCTGTGCAGAGCCCTGAGTCTTGTCTGGAGAGCTGGGAGAAGATGCAGCATTCCTGTGACCTCTGACTACTCTCTGTGGGCAAAAATGGAACCTGTAAGGTCAGCTTGGCCCGTGGGAATTCCAAGACTACTGGCCCCCTTGACTCCTAAGATGGAGAGACCTGTAACCCTGTTCTGAGACCCCATTTATGTTTGTGCTTTCAACCCCTTACATCATACTCCATCCCAGTGTGGAACTTAAGACTCCAGCAAGCCATCTACTGTATTTTTCGAGCCTGGTGTCTCCTGACCTGCTAAGCCCCAGACCCACAAATCACTGACTTTTTGCTCTTATACCAAGTCAGACAACTCAGTCAGGCATCTCTCCATCCCCATCTGCCCAGTTTGTATAGTTAAATATTTATCTTATTAAAACAATAATACAAACAAAAATCACTTTTCATGTGAAAATGAACCGAGAGCGTGTTCCAGCAGGAAGATAGTTGATGGAAAAACTTCATTGTAAATTTGTACAGTTAGTTGTGTTCCTAAAGCTTAGTACAGCTTAGCTAGGAAATGGTGAAAGAAAATATGTTAGAGAACTAAGCTGTGATGCTGCAGACATGGGGCCGTAGTGAAGAGTGTGAGTTGTATTCTAAGAACCATGAATGCAAGGATAGAAAAGTCTAGGGACTGGGTGATACTTTAGGAAAGCAGTTCTGACTGCTGGGTACAGAGTGGATTACCCCAGGGCAACAAGAGGAGTTCAACACAGTGTCAGCCAAGAGAGGAGAATTGGTGAGTTTGAGAGGGAGATGATGCATGTGGAAAGATGCAGTGAGCTACAGGTAGATCAGAAGCCAGGTGGAGGCTTGCTAGCGTACCACCTGAAGGTGTCAGGAAAGTAAAGGAATCTGAGACTAAAATGTCACTTCTTCCCTGATGCATGCTGCCCACTTATTGACATAGAAAATATCAATAGGAGAAAATGTGTGAGGAAGCCGTCTTCTGTAATCATGTTTCCTGGAAGAAGAATATTCTTTATCTCATAGTTTTTTTTCAGTTGTGCAATTGGATCTAATAGGAGTGTTTGAATCTGTGGTACTTGATTCAGGAACTGTGACCATACATGTTTGCTTTTAACATACAATTAAGGCCACAGTGTGAGAGAACACGGACATAAAACATGCAAAGAAGAGATGAAGCCTGGAACTAAGAGAACCCTGGGCATAAACTGTCACGGGCATGGAAGGAGATAGGGAACCACAGGCTGCAGTGTCCCTGTATCTAGAACGGCCACTCTGATTTAGCAACACGTTTCATCTGAGTAAAAAGGCAGGAGGTCCGTATCTCAGCTAGAAGAAAATCAGGCAGAGAGAGGATTTCCTACAGTGGGTTAGCTGAGGCCCCACATGAGGATGATGGCAGACTTTATTCATTGTACTGATTCCACTGTTGAGCTCACCGTGACGCTCACGGAAATAAAGCTTCAGCAAATATCCTGAGCACTCTGCAACCCAATTAAGATGAAATATTCTAAAGGAATAGCTTTAACTTTAATCGTGGAATCAAAGATGGGTAAGAAAGAATAATGACTATTATTAAAAAGACAAATGTTAAGAGTTATGTTGTGGAGAAAAGCAAATCTTTTGAACATCTACAGTGGGAATATAAATTAGTAGATCCATTCTGAGAAACTATGGAAATCCCTCAGAAATTAAAAAGAGAACTGCCATGTGATCCAGCAAAACTGCTATGAGATAAATGTCCAAAGAAGGGAGATCAGTACGTCAAAGAGGCTTGTGCGCTCCCATAATCATTTTAGTATTATTCATGAAAAACAAAATATGGACCCAACAAGCATCCATCAATGGAGACGAAATTATGGTACAAATGGAAATGGAAATCATTCACATACAAAATTGGTAGAAATTATGTCATTTATGAACCATATATAAATGAGTCAGACATAGAAAACAAACATCACTCATGTGGAAACTAAATAAGTGAACTCATGGAAGTGCACAACACAATGAGATGCTAGAAGCCAGAGCCTGGGGGACACTTGGGGACCTGTGGTAAATAGTTGGGTTTAGATAAAATACATTTAGGAAAGCTGTGGTGGAACATGGCAATTATGATTTATTGCATAGCAGAAAATCTCAGTAGATTTTAAGTGTTCTTCGCACCTGTCATGGGACTCTTTCTGGTGCAATAGCATCTTCCCACACTCACTTCCATATAGACACATATAATAAAAATTAGAAGCAAAGATCTACATATGATAGAGACTATGCAATGTTTGTTTTCTAAGCCTAAATTCTTTCACTGAATATAGCATTTTCCAATTCCAAGCATTTTCTTGTAAATCTCCTTATTTATTTTTCTGCATGACTGGAATAAAATTACATTGTGTATATGTACCACCATTTCATTATCCATTCACAAGTTAATGAAAAGCTGATTCCACTGATTCCATTTCCCGGCTATTGTGACTAGAACAGCAGTAAGCATAGTTGTGCAAGTATCTATGTAGTTGGCCATAGGATCCTTTGGGTTTATGCCCAGGAATTGTATAGCTGGGTCATATCGTAAATCTGTTTTCAGCTTTTCAGGAAACCTCCACCCTGGTTTCCATAGTGACTGCACCATTTTGCACTCCCAACAACACCAAGTAAATGTTTCTCTTTCCCACATCCTCAGCAGCGTTTGTTATTTATTTCTTGATGATAGTCACTCTGATAGAGATGAGATAGAATGTCAAAAGTGATTTAATTTGTATTTTCATGATGGCAAGGGATGTTCAACACTACTTTAAACACTTTAATTTATTGGCAATTTGTATTTTTTCCTTTTAGAAATCTGTTCAAATCTTTAGTCCAGTTTTCATGATGTTATTTAAAATAACATAGAAATGACTTAAAATATGGTGTAAGATGTGCATAGGTTACATGTACATGTCATGACCTTTTATATCAGGGCCCAAGTCCTTTCAGATTTCAGTGTTCAATGCTGCTTTCAGACCACTCCTTCATGAATGTGAGACATGACTCCGTAATGTGATGCTCATTTCCCTTTGCTTTGGTTTCAGCACCCAGTATACCTGTGCTTCTATCAAGTTAGTGCCATCGTACCATAAATGGATTTGGATCTGCTACCCAAAAAGAAAGTAACACTTTAGTTATGTAAACAATAGCCTTGTTTCACAGAAAATGAAATACAAATGTGGAAAGAGAGCTATTGCTTCTTTAAATTTAAGTTTAATATTTTGGAAAGTCATAATTAAGCAGTTTCCCATGAAAATTCTTTTGTATTGGTTGTGAGGAAGTTATTTGCAAAACTCTGTAAGAAATGTTCAGGTAATAAAAGAGCTTGTGACAGAGTGGGAGGCTTGGTCATGCCCCAGTAGATCATGAGTTACTCTTCCGCAAATGTAAGAAATAAACATTGTTTAGAAAAATATTAAAATTTAGTAGCATTAGTAAGAATCTTACTTCATATTTTGTGTAAAGTATGTTATCACTAATTAGCTATGAAATTTTAACAAGTATTCTGTTTATTCCAAAAAGATATATACCCATATAAATCTATTATCCCCATTTGCCAAGACTGTAGGAAAAACAAATCATCTCATATAAATTTGGTAAAATGATCATAGCAAATGTAAGTTCTCTTTGCATATATATTTTTAGTTATTCTTTAATCCATTTCATTGTATTTGAGTAAGGGATGAAATATACAGTCAATATATCAGTCATGAATGATCCAAAACCCATAGTTTTAATGCACATTAATAAAGCAAATAAGAGAAGAAAGAGGAAGGAGGAGGAGGAGGAGGTCTATAGGACATCAGTACAAAATACAGGGCTTGATGGAGAGATGGCTGCAGTTAGCACTAAGCTACTCATTCTTGTCCTCCAGTTTTGAATCAGTGACCTCTCTGAGCAGGCAGCACAAAGGCTTGTTTCTGCATCACCACTAATTTCCAAGGTTCTTTCTACTTCTACACCTCATTCTAAGGTGTTGGGTATTTATTTTTATGTCCTTCTTTGTTATTATATTCTTTTCTTTTTGAGACAAGGTCCAAAATGAGATCCAGTATCTCCCCAGTCTCCCTATCCTTCTGCTTTAGCCTCCAGAGTGATGAGATTATCTATGCCCCACTCATGCCTTGACCAAGGTATTAATTTTTTTTCTTTTTCTCTTTTTTCATTTTCTCCAAAATGCCAATGCCATTCTGCTGAGATCTTGGAGGGCAGAATTCTTTTTTTTTCAGATTGCACGTCTAGCTGTCTCTTCATCTGAAATGTAATGAATTCGAACAGATTATACTGTGTAAAATTACATAATTATTACCTGAGACATAAAATTTCACACAAATGAAAGTTAATAAAGTATCATATAGTACACTGAAGCACAGAATGTGGTGTGTGTGTGTGACAGAGATACAGATGTAAGCATGATACAGATGTCTGCACATTTATTTGTAAATGCAAACACAATTCTATCTACAACTGTCAGAAGTCTAGTAAAATCAGATGGTGTACTCATAAAAGATTTAACAAAAAATATATGGCGTTAACTTCTAAAATAAATGCACACATACTGACTTTTAAAGAAGAGATTCTTGTTCTCATATACTTTCATTACTTCTTTGAGAATTCATACAATGCATTTTGATCATATTCATTCCCCACTCTTCTCCCGACTCCTTCTTCATCCACTCCCCAACTTCCCACTCTTCAATGTTGTGTCATTAAGCTTGTTTGTTTAAATAACACACTGAGTCCAATCTGTGTTGCCCATGTACTCATGGTTGACCTGCCTGAGACTAAACCCTTGAAGAAAGCTGAGACTTCAGTGAGCGCCCTTGAAGAAAAGAGCCCTCAGAGAGACGCTTAGTTTTCATTACGTGAACTGCTGTTAATTTGTATATGTTGTAAACCACACCCACAGTGCATCTTATTTTCTCTTCTCATTTCTTTAAAGTGAAACATTTTAAATATTTCTAAAACAATGAGGTTAGTTACTGGCTTTTCTGAGTACTTTCTGTATAACTTGCTCATACCTAGTTCAGAATTATTTTT